GGATGATGACTCTTCACACCCAGGATGTGGCTATTGGGTCCCCTAAAAGCCCCAGTCGCCCTTTAAAAAGGGGAGTATATAAGGTATTTCTCCCACTTTCCTCGCGTGCCTTCGTAGTGTAACGGTAGCATTCTGGGCCGGTATTCCAGAGGTCCGTGGTTCGATTTCCGGCGAAAGCGGTCGCATATTTTTCATCTTTTCTGCTTCCAATTAACCTAATGACTCTACAGAGTGATTTTAGAATAATAAGTGAATAAGAACATGACTGAATACGTAATAATATCTAAGAAGAATGCTGCATAAACTGTTAATTAATTTATTATAAGGGTTGAAAATAATGTGCTGCGTTAAGATTGATTTGCAATTCATTAGAGATTAATTCAATTTGGTTGGTTTGATTAAAACATGTTTAGTGCTAATATTTAAGTTTCTTATTTTCTTGGGGAATTTTGAACACTATGTACTGATAAAGCTATTTTTATAAAGATAAAAATAATTTTATAATTTACAATCGCTAAATAAAATGCGATATTTTAAATGCAATTTCAAGTAACAGCACGAGAAGAAAAACTTTTGCACTTCTTTCTTTCCGCTAGATTTTGCCATTTCGAGAGAACTCTTTGTCATAAGCTAAGTTGACATAACACCATTTTGCTTCAGAAACTGATACAAGTTTATACCATAGGATTGCTTCACAAATATAGTATACTTGTACATATTAATTAAACATAATGCCATTGTGATTTATGGAATCTCTACTGTGAAAGAAGATATAAAATCATTTAAAATAAAATTCTTAGAATCATTATATATGGATATCGATTTTAAAATAATCCACAGCTACACAATGAAAAGGAATAATGATTTCTTCAAAGCAACTGATAAGACAACATATGATGAAATCCGCAACTAATAGACTTTTCGAGAGACTTAGGATTATGTTTTACGATAGCAATTGGTAGCTGCTTTCTGTCAGTAGATGATAGCCCTGGTTCTATGTGTCAACTCTTGGATATCAAGGCAGGCTGAAATTAGCTCAACTCATCTATATAAACTTTTCGCCTTATTATGCATATGTTTTAGTTTTTATACATCCTCAAATTTTTTCGATAATTTCCAAACTGGCCCACTTTTACAGCCATCGAAGAATGAGGTACTTACATACGAGTAGAAATGCAATTTAACTTGAATGAATAATGATGCTATCTACGTACTTGAAGATTATTATTCTGTTTAAATTGTACAAATGAAGCAATTTTGAGTAAGTTTTAATCTGGAGGATTTTAAATATTTTTCACATTTTTGTGTACTGTCATATCTAGCAGGTAGAGAGTAATGATAAAGGAAAGAATATTTTACAGATATCTGAGAAATGTATCTGACGATGAGCAGGAATATTGATGCTCTTTGGCAATTTTGAAATGAAGCGTTTTTTGAATTAACTTTGTGAGGACTATCTTTTTTTAACGCTAATATGAGATAAATGATTTCATCGAAGTAGGTTACAATCGTTGTCTCTATTTGAGAATGCGTCCACTAATACATACATTTGAGAAGTAATGTGAATGAAGGTGTTACTTATATAATGTACAAGTAATGAATTGAGCTTCTATTCGAATGGATTTGATACTGAATGATGCTAAAACAAGGTGAAAGTAGTATTTTCATCGGGACCGGAATGAATTAATGATATAAAGACATGGAAGTTTATTTCCTTAGTCGAATATGAGAAATCACGTGACTAGTTTGATTAGTGGAAGAAAGAAATCTTCATAGACAGTTTTCTAAAGAAAGGTGACTCATAGTCACATTATACATAGAGAGAATCACGAAAATTCTTATGAAGCCAACCCTTCCGCCAGAATTCGAACTTCAATCAAACTACCAGTGTCCCATGATTTCACTTACTCTGCCAATCATGGGTTATGGATTTAAATTTATTAACAGTTTGGAAGATAAGATATCATTAGTTTGAAATACAGCTTAAAGAGATCAATCGGCCCGTAATTTTAAGTTGAAAGCACAAAGTGTTTTTGAAATATGTTTAAGTTCTTTATAGTATTGAAAAGATTGTGGTGAAAGATAGGAAACGATTTATAAGTTGTTCGAGAATTCTTTGAGAAGTAATTATCTTTAATGTAAAATCAGTAAAAGTTGGGCAATTAAAATGGAAAAGTACATAACATAGAAATTAACCCGGAGCAATTAATAAGGAAATCATCAATATTGGGGACTTACATTAATGGATATTATTCAAAATAAACCTCTTGCGTGGATGTTCGTGATTAGATAATGAACGAAAAAATTCCCACAGAGTACGTTTTTTTCTAAACACACATGTTTCAGTTCTTTGACTCTCTTATCAAAATAAAAACTCCTTCAGCAGTAGTTTTAATTTTGAAAGAAAAATTAGTCACATGGAGACAAATTTGGAAAAGGGGGGAACTGAATGAGTAAACGAACTTTTATTGGGGCCACAAGTGGTTGCATACGTTTAGACTTTTGTGGCGGTCTTGCACAATGCGTTTGGAACAAGTTTTCGATTGAACACAAAATTAAAAATAATCTGTTTGTTTACGTAAAGAGCTACTTTCGAAAGTGCTCCCTTTCGAAATGCCCTATCATTTTCAACCACCATTTTTACTAGTATTAAAAAAGAATACATTCTGATAATTTCATTGGCGCAGAATGGTACTTCCGAATGTATGGTACTTGCGAATGATTATAAAGGAATGAGATATTTGTATACGGAGATATCATACTTTATTCTCTTTTGTTGCTAGTTTGCAGGTTTGGTTATACAGATATAGAAAAGCACGCAAGGGCTATCTGCCTAGTAGGAGAGATGCCTTTGTGGAGAATGTTTCTTTCTTTTTTCTTTATTTATCGTTAAATTATTATATTTTAAGGTGCATACCATGAAAAAAATTTGAAAAGGTGCGTCTCATAATTCTACACTTTTTTTGCTATCACAAGAAAGATTTATTTTAAAATTTATTTTATTTAACAGGATAAAAGTTGCATAAATCATTTTCAATTAAAACATAATGACCTCAATAAACTTTTGAAAACGTAAAAAAAATCGCTTGCTATTTTTTCAAGGTGTGAGTTTTCGAGGAAATATATTTAAAATTCTCTCCGTGCCGGGAACAATCCTACGCTACGTAACGATTAGAATGCTGAACTATCATTTTTTGAGGTAATTCAATGAACTTTATCATGAGGATAGGATACAATCAAATTTTGGAATTCTTCATAACGGTGCCGCAGCTGGAGGTAACGCGCACAAACTGAAGATGAGTTTCTCCCTTGAAACTTCCTCCTTGATTGTCGGCATCCTTATGCAAGTTCGATTTTCATTTCAGTTAATAATTCATTAATTAAACAATGTATTATATAAATGTTCGGAATCTTTATGAAAAACGGGACAATTTTAATCTGGCACTAAAAGTTGCAAGTGACCACTCGTAAGCTTAAAATTGAAAAGTTATATGAGGAGTATGGAGAAGTATTCAAAGAATTGGAGCAAGAAGGCATCATCGTAGAGGTTTCTAAAGAAGAGATTATGCCATCTTGTCACTCTTTGCTCCATTGACATGTGGTGAAGGCCAGCAGTATGACTAAGATTGGACCTGTGTTTGATGCTTCTTCTAAAGAAAAGGGAACTTCCAGTCTCGATGATTGTGTTGAAAAGGGGCTGAATTTGATAGAATTAATTCCTTCCATATTAACGAGATTTCGCTTGTATAAATTTGGCATAACAGCTGACATGTGCAAAGCGTTTTTGCAAATAAGTCTGTATAAAAAAGATAGAGATTTTCTCCGATTTCTATGGTACAATATAAATGGGAAGCTCAAACATTATTTTCATTGCAGAGGTTTTACTTTTGGTGTTTTCTGTAGTCTCTTCTTGCTTCGGTCAACTATCCGGTACCATTTAGGAAAGAAACTAGATGAAGCCCAGCAAGAGAATGAAAAATATTTTTGAAGATATTATCCGACAACTGATACTCAGCTTTTGTGTGGATAACTGCTTGACTAGAGTTAAAACTGAATCAGACTTGAAGCAGTTTATTGAAGTTGCGACTGAAATTATGGCTGAAAGAAAATTTGATTTACGAGGGTGGGATTAACACATCTGAATCTATAGCAAGTCCAACAAACATTCTAGGAATCCCACAAAACGGATAGCATCACCTTTTTTTGATGAATTTTGGCTTTTTGAAGTGCTTTGAGTCAGTTCATCTTTTTTACTGCGTGATCTCTTGCGTTCAAATTGTCATAGACAACACATTTCTCGTCTCCAGTGATGATGTGCTTCAAAAATGACCATTTTCTTGATGTTTGAGAAACAAATCACAAACGTCAATGCGGCGGCACAAATCATTTCATAAGAACATGAGGAACCCATTTGTTAATCTTTGAGATTGAACCTAGGCGTTTCAAATGATCATGAACGGTCGAATTCGATAAATTCAATCTCTTAGCGATCTCAAGAGTTGTTATTCGCCGGTTTTCATCAATCAATGCCGTTACAGTGTCTTCATCAGCATTCCAGAACGAACCTTCCAGAACGTGTAGCATCCTTAAGGTCAAAATTGCAAGATCGAAATTTTGCAAACCATTTTTGCCACTGGCGTTCTGTCAGTACATCTTCTCCACATCGGATAATTGTTTTCTTGCTTGAATAGCAAGAAAAAGTTAAAAAACTTTTCGGTAGTAAAAAAGCAAACTATGCCGAAAATGCTGTTCTCTTTGCGAATGTGTCTTTCTTAAAATGCAGAAAAAATCCTTAGTGTCACGCTTAATAATTGAGACAAAAATTCTATGTAATTCTTTAAAATTAATGCTGAATCTGCCTCTGTAATGCTTTGTAACTAACGGTGTTTATAAATCAAAGATCCTAGTAAAAAAATTTGGCAAATGATTTTACATTTTTTTTTTCAAAGAACAGTTTTAAACTTAAGTATAAAAGATAAATCTGCAGTTTTATGTTCTGTGTCACTGGATATTTATCAGTGAAATTACAACGCTATTAACATTATAAATCTCTTTTGCTGCATTCAAAAACGAACTTTTGACTTGGTAGATGGAATTTTATTTCGAATAGGACCAGACGGAAATTATCGTAAGTTCATATTTGCTTTCTCTCTTAATGACACCAAGGGTGCATTTTACATTAAGAACGCAAAACTGGTTTAACATTTTTATTTTATCACTGCAATAAAGATCTTAAATTTTATAAAACTTTCTGTTTTAAGATAAGAATAAAATATAAAAAAGATACCAGGAATCACGCCTTTTTAATGAACGCAATAAAACGGGGAAAATTTTTTTTAGTTATCAAAATATTCTTTTTGGTTGTTAAACACAGGCGAATAAAATAGGTCGCGGGTTTAATAACAAAGGATGATTTTAAGCCACATTTGCCAAAGACGAATTCAGGTGTACTGACTGCAATAGTTCTTGTACATGTCGTTTCTGTAGTATCACTTCTGTTGGCCTATTAAGTTCTATTAATGTTACCAATGCAATTCGCATGGATACTCCCTACATGATTTTATTTTATTTTCATATGGTCCAGAAATAGATTAAGAAATCGTTATAGATTAAGAAATCGTTATAGATTAAGATATATATTAAGAAATTTTGAAAAAATAATGTGACTTTAATATTATATTCATCTATTAAGAATTTACATTCTTAAGCCAACATTCCATATTTTATAAATTTAGGAAAATGAATAATATTCCATTTATTAGGTTCAGTATTAATAGCAGCATTTTAATTAGTAACATATAAAGATACCATCTCATAAACATACATTTTTGTTGCAGCATCTTGATCTTTAATAGAATTTGCAAAATTTTCTATTCTTTTTCCTTTTGCATATATAACATCTTTAATGTGCAAATATTTATCTTTAAATTTCTTTTTAAATTCTAATATGCATTCATTTATTCCATTATCATCGGAATTTTTTTCTTTAATTGTTTTTTCTATGACTTTAATATGTCTTGCATTTTGTCGAGTAAAATTTATGAAACTGTTATCTAATTTTCTAATTTTTTTCATTTAATTAATTTTTAGTTCAAAATATTTATTTTTTATATACTTTAAAACAAATTCTTTATTATTAGTATCAAGGTTATCTATAACATATAAACAATTTTTTAAAATTTCATTTTCCATATCATAATTTCTATCATTCATTAATTTAAAAGCAGTATCGAAAGGATTTACAGGCCCTTTTTCATTTTCAACGGATGAATAATAAGTTATTACAATTATAATTTTACTGTTTCTACCACAGTAATATTTCTTATTGTTGTATTTAAAATACATTTATTTTTCTATAATAGAATAAAATAAAACCTATATTATTTTTAAGGATTATTTCTTAATATCCGATTAAATTTGATTTCAGTATCTCTGATAGAAATATAACTTTCATGAGTAGGGAGATCATAACAAAAAATAGGATAGAGTGTTTCAAATTTTTAAAAAGATCTATCATAATCCTGTTCCAGAATTAATATAATTCAATCCTGCTTTTAAAAAATGTTTATGATCTATTTTTGTTACATATTTTAGGAAAAAATTAAACTTATCAGAAAAATTTCATAATTTGTATTACAAAATTCCTTTTCCTTACCCATTAAATAACAATCAAAAATATCTAAACTATCAAATTTCATATTATTTTTTTGTGTTGCTTCATTTTTCTTTCAGTATATTATGGGAGCCTATATAAACTTAAAACATCATCTGAAGTAGAAATTATTTTACACGTACTATATGAAGATGAAATTTGAGAGGATTTTAACATTATGAATTGATTCCATTTAATTTCTATTTCTTTTATAATTTAAAATTTTTCAAATAGAATCTTTGCTTCATTTATTGATTTATAATGACCTAACATCAGTTTTAAATCTTCAACAGCTACTTTGTCAGGACTTGTGTTTCTCTTGATTTGCTTTGGAAACATGGTATGCCCTGAATAAGAACAGGGAGCTTACTCAAGCTATGTTCAAGATTTGTGTATACAGACGACACAGCAGAAAGGGTATCAAAACCTCTATTTTTCAATACTTTATGAACTTCCGAACTTCGGATCAGAGACCAACCACTTTGGTCGAACGTAAAATAAATACTAACTAAAACTGACTTGAATTATATACAAAGCCTTGTGAACTGTTCTTTGGCGAAATGAAGCAACTCCAATGATGGAACACAGCAATAACTTTTATTTAACAAACACTAAAAAAATGGCGACATACAAACAAGAAGAGAAAACATATTCTATCATTTAAAAATAAATTACATTCTTCGTGCGAGAGTCGCACGAGGCACTCGAGTCTGGTTTCAAATATTGCCATTCACAAAAATACCTTAATGTTCATCTATTTAAATTATTTAAACTACAAGATTTTAATATTATTTAAAGCTGTTACAACCTCTCCCCCAACGGAGAGACTTTTTTGCCGAAGGGAAAAGTTCTGTAAATTTCGAAAGTTTATAAGCTCGGCTTGCTCAATTGCTTAAAGAGAAAAGATAACTTCTCTCATAAGTTTCCAAATTTTCAGGCCGAAAATTTTAAGTTTTAAACAAATATTTTTACACCACATTTAAATAGGAAGAAAATGGACAGTGTTCAAATTAGTCTTCTTTTTTTTTTTTCTTGACGGCGCCTAGATCTCTTCCATGGTGGACCAGTTCCTCGGCTATAATTCACAGCAAAGCCTTTCCTCAGTTCATCTGTGCCTTTCGGATAATATTCATTTGTCATTTGCTTTCGACAATTGTTTTCTTTTTTCTTCGTCTATTAGTAGCGGCTTTGATATTAAATCAAAAGCCGAAAGATGATGATAACGCTGCATTGCAAAATGATTCTCAATATTAATTTCTTTATCGTTTTTTTTCAAATTTTCGTGAACATCTTCCACGTTTAATTCTGGTGATTTAACTTCTTCTTCAAATACATCTCTGGATGCTTTATTTTCTTCCTTCATCGGTTCCAAGATCTGCTCTTCAGCTATTTTTCTTTTCCTTTGAGCTCTAGTAGAAACGGCATTAAAATGGTATCACTAAGTTTACGTTCAAGTGATAAACTAATAAAATAAGGCAGTTCAGTGTTAACAGGAAGTAATAACCTGATATCACTAATATTATGTTCAGTGATGAACTAATAAAATAAGACAATTCAATATCAACAGGAAGTTACGTTCAGTGATGAACTAATAAAATAAGGCAATTTAATATGAACAGGAAGTAATAATCTGGTATTACTAATATTACGTTCAGTGATGAACTAATAAAATAAGGCAATTCAATATCAACAGGAATTAATAACCTGGTATCACTAATATTGCATTCAGTGATGAACTAATAAAATAAAGCAATTCAATATTAACAGAAAGTAATAATCTGGTATCGCTAATATTGCCTTCAGTGATGAACTAATAAAATAAAGCAATTCAATATTAACAGGAAGTAATAATCTGGTATTAATAATATTATGTTCAGTGATGAACTAATGAAATAAAATACGCACGATTATTCGATCTCGGTCGGTGCCTCCAAATAATTAAGACTGTAATGCTTCTTTGGCGAAATGAAGCAACTCCAATGATGGAACACAGCAATAACTTTTATTTAACACTCAAAAAAAATGGCGACATACAAACAAGAAGAGAAACACTATTCTAACATTTAAAAATAAATTACATTCTTCGTGCGAGAGTCGCACGAGGCACTAGAGTCTGGTTTCAAATATTGCCATTCACAAATACCTTAATGTTCATCTATTTAAATTATTTAAACTACAAGATTTTAATATTATTTAAATGTGTTACAGTACGTATGTAGTACGCCGAGTAGCTGAAACTACAATACGTTTGCAAATATCAAGAGGGCTAAACCACTGGCCTTAAAGGCAACCAGCAACCGAGTGAAAACTCGTAAAACTGCAGTGGCTAGCGGCTTACTTCCTAAACTCCTTCTCTCTCTCTTGGCAAAAACCACAACTTAAGTACTGGGCTTAGCAAGACAATTTGCATAAACAAGTTAAAGCATTTAATTCTGGCCGGAAGTAGAAAATAAGAAGTGATAGTACAGTTTTAAAATAAAATAAACGTTAGTAAAACTTAGGATCCTTACAACTTAATAGTTACTATATTCACTAGTATATCATATTTTCAATTTTATTTCTCAAATTGAATTTGAACTTCAAAATTTGTAAATTCCTTCTTATACTCTCGGAAGAAAAAATATATATTTTAAGGGAATCTGTATTTTTATAATATTGCTAATTTTTGTAATAGACCATCTTTTAAAATAGCCTTTATTATAATATTAATTCAACTTTATGTTATTTATTACATCAGATAATTTAAGGACCGCAATATCATTTTTATCATAACATTTTTATAACGTGTGTCTGAAGTTTCAGGATAGAAAAAAGTATTTTAACCTTCTGATATAGAATAATCAGAAGTACAATGAAACGTTAAAATAGTACGAATCATTAATGAAGCATCTACGTTTTGACGTTCAGTTCATTTAATTGCTATAGATAGTTGTGTAGCATACTAAATAAATCCTCTTAGACTACTAAAAGCTACATTTTCTTCTCTAATATTATCATTATTATTTTTTACAATTTTTTAGCTCCAATTGAAGAAACTTCTTGAAAATGAAATATTACTTTTTCCTTTTATAGTAAAATTTTAAATAGCATTTTTCAGACTGATCTGTTGTATTTTCATCCTTATTAAATTCTATAAATTTTTAATTCCCAATACCCCCATTCTGATGATATTTCGAGCTGCTGAGTCATAAGATTTTTTTTCCGTTTATTTACATATAACTTAAAAAACCTACTCCTTCCTTTGAAAGTGTTTCCTTTGATTTATCACACAGGACGTGTTATTGAGAAGTCACACACAGCGAAGCTGAGGACTTCCTGTGTGACCTATTAGACAACAAAGCTGGAAAAATCTGTAAAAAAAACGTTTTCCTTCAATTTTTTTAACTTTTTCTGTATAACCTATAATTATTCACTTACTTTTGGTAAAAATCAGGGGATCTTAAATCGGCTAATCTTTGGAATATGGTAACAGGTAGTTTGGGCGACATTTTGGTAAGGCGATAAAGGTTACTAGCTAGGACTTTAGCAGTGTATATGGATAAAGTCAAGAGTGTGCGCAATGCCATTTTTGTGCAATTCTGGGATTTTCTTTTTAAGTGAAAATAGGTCGACGTGTACATGGATATCGTGCATAAAACTTGGATATACATGGGATACTGTGCAATTCTTATAAACGCGGTAAGCAGTGGGCCATTCTGCACTTTCTCCCAATTTTGCACCTAATCTTCGTCATAATTAAGCATTTGAGTAGGAAAGAAAAAAAAAAAAGCCTTTACTTCGTGAAAAGAAAACTAGCAGGTTGCTGTAGCAGGGTTAGTCGCCAAATTTTCGCCAAAAATCGTAAAGTTACCATAATCCAAAGATTAACCCGTAAATCTTTTTTAAATAATTTTCGTCTTCTTCAACTAATTATTATGTTTAGTTTCCTGATTATTTTAATCAATGAGGTCATTATTTTGATTAGTTCTCCGCATATGAATACCACTAATTCCATCTAACTTAATGGGTAAAAACATCGGTTTATCAAATGTTTTAAAAATCATACTACCCGGATGATTTAAGATTTTAAATGAATAAATAAATCAGTGTTTATCCGTTTATGTATGCTCCTTTTACTAAATCACAAATGAATATAAATATTATCATCTCCGTTAGATATATCAGCAATAATATTCACTATCTATCTCAGCTTCAGGAGCCTTATATATTTGTTTCTTAAATTCTATAATTTTATGAAAGTTACGCTTTTTAAAATTAATTTAACATCCTTTATATAATTTAAGAAGGCTCACCTGAGGAGGTGAACCATCTTAGGTCTCTATTCAAGAAAAGATGGTATTCGAATCTCGTGCTTGTGTGCGCCTTCAGTTCATGAGAAATCTTAACTAAGAACGAACACAAAGTTGCTCTTGTAGAAAACAAACATACCTGCTTCAGAGCACGTAATGAATCTAACATTTTTGCATACATTTTTTTTTAGGGACAACTAACAAGTTCTTAACCTAAAGGTAATTATTTTATTTAAGCAGCTTTGATTGTGTGCAACGTGGAGTTGAGCCAGTTTCCCTTAGAAAGTCCTCATCAAAAGCTTTTCCCTCTTTTCACAGAGAGGTCTCTCTTGCTTTATCGTAATTAAAATAGAAAATAAAACTTGGATTAACACTTAATAATAGCATAAATTCTCTTTGTTTTAGTCGAAACATGAAAAATTGAAAGCAAACAAATGGATGTTTGTTTGCTTTAAATGCTCTTTACTTCCGATGTTATATATTATTACATTCACAAACGGATTTAATAATATATAACATCGGAAATAAAGAGCGACTTCTATCGTTTCGACTTCTATCGTTCTGTTATTTATCACTTTAGGTAAATCTATCAGAACTAATCCTTGTTCAAAACCCGACAGCTCTAAGCAAAATTCCAGACGAGACGTATTTTACATTCCAAGACTTCATAGAACTGTCATAAGAACAACGTGTTTGTAGGCTTTTATTATCATATTCTCGGTAATTCACTAGATTTCGTTTCTTGAATACTGTCACTAAACATTTGGCTACGATATTTATGTATAGTGTTTTCCTAGAGATGTGGTTAGGGTTGCTTAAATAGCCGCTGCTCAGTTATAAAGTGAGAAATATTTATCGCCTAAGATATTTAAAATTTTAAGAGATTTACAGAAAATAAAAAATTAAAATATTGGTACTATTCGGTTTCGAGGGCCGTAAAAAATCGCCAAACTATTGTTGATGCCAAGGTTGCCAAAAATAATTGCGGCAACCCTAATAATTGCGGCAAGAAAGGAAGTACAATAGTAAATAACTATCTAAATATTGATGTTTTAATTTAGATGAAAGGTTAATTTCATATAATACTTTTTTTATTATTATAATTATATGAAAAAGGCTAAACATGACTGAATGGAAGCATAAGAGTAAATAACTATTTCAGATCATTCTTATAATTTATATACAAATTGCTAAACATAACTGAATAGATGCCTGCATCGCTATTTCACTACCGACTTATCGCTAAAGCATAATTTCATCTCGTTGGTTGTTCAAACGTAATTTTCTATAATGAATGATGCCTTTTCTTTAAAAATATTCTCGGTAAAGTGCAAAATCGCTCACTTATTTCTTTGCCGCTTTTTACAAGGGGAACAAAATTGAATTTTTGTCAATTTTCTTTTACTTTTTAAGTGAAAATATAGGTCGATGTGTACTTAGATGAAGTCAAGAGTGTGCGCAGTGCCATTTTTATGCAATTCTAGGATTTTTTTTAAAGTGAAACTAGGTCGATGTGCACAAGGATGCCGAGTATGTGCAATTCTTAAAAACCCGTGAAGCAGTGGGTGATTCTGCTCTTTACCCAAAATTCTATTGCGGACTTTTCGTCATGGGCAATTCCCAAATTGGTTAAATCAATAGGATATCAAAAATGAATTTAAAATCAAAAAAGAATTTAAAAATTAACTAGTATGTCAATGGCGTCTTAAATATAGAACTATATAAACTTACGCAATCTGAAATCAACGCGTACGCTAGATTTGGCGCTTTTGCGCATACATTTTCGCTGCAATTTTTTTACGGCCCTCAAAACCGAATAGTACCAAAATATTTTTTAATCCGACTTTAAATGCGACTTGTAAATTTAAGGAAATACGTCTTACTTGTAATATGCTGAGTACTGAGATCCTGTGAATGCATAAAATAAAACCTAGCCCTACTTATTCTAGACTATTGATAATGGGTTTTTTCTTGCAGGATAATTTTCACAACAGTGATACCGACAATTAAAATTATGATGCCACAGTCACATTTATTATCAAAAGGAAGAACTATTTTGAGTGCAAATCTTTCGAGTCTGATTTACAGAATATTTTCAACACACTCTTACCCAGCATCGGATGTTACGGAGCAAAATTGTCTCAATGAAAAATGCCGTTTTAAGCAGACTGAAATGGCTGAATGTAAGTGGAAATTTCATATAAAATCCTACTTTATTTGAAGTACTTGAACTTGATGTAGCAAATATGGCTTAACGTTTATCTAACACGGATCTCAACACTTATAATAAATTATAAATTGAACTGCATCTAATTTGTCGCAAATGGCGGCAACAGTTTGGCACGGACTTCGCAAGCTTATGGATACGGTGACCATATTTTTTCGGAGAAAATAAAGGACACTTGTAACGTGACATGAGGGAGGGGGTTTATGGTAATTTAAATTCGTGCTCAATAATTTTGTGTTAGGGGTGGGGGTTTGTGCGTTCGTGTGACGTCACAAATGTTAATTTGGGTTCTTCCAAGGTGTGACAAATTGTGACATGGGGATTGGGGATGGGCAGGGTCAAAATTATCCCAAATATTGCGATCATTTATGGACGCCTTCTGATAAAAAAAACTCCAAAAAACTTAGTAATTCAAAAGGTTTATTAAAACAATAGAAACAGACATTAATATGTTCAACGAGTTTTAAATAATGTAATATGTAAATATAGAATATTAAATAATTTATTGCTCATACTTTCCAGATGTATGGATTTTTCGCAAAAGTGCCGGTTCGCGCTTCAAAAAGTCGTGAAATTCAAGGCAATTCATTTCAAAGTTAAATTTTACAGCTATGCTGGCTTGTAATGTACTAAAAATTTCTCAAAATAAAGGACAATATGCTTATTTCAGGAAATAAATAAAGTTAGAGGACAGAGCCTTCAAATAAAGGACTATATAAACTTACGCAATCTGAAATCAACGCGTACGCCTCTGAAATAAAGGACGTCTGGTCACCGTACTTATGGATGATATCATTATCGACGTGAAGTAATTCTGTCAAGAACTAGCCGAGCTTATTAGTAATCTGATTTGTGTTTAAACCAGGCAAAAGGGCTGGCTTCGTGACTGATTTACCTGGTTTTACCAATGGGTAACATGAATACGAGTCAGTTTTCCTTAGAAAGTCCTTCACAAAGGCATTCGTCCCTAAACGCAATTAGTTCTTGCGTACTTTATCATAATGAAATAAGCTAACCTCACCTCACGTTTTTATTTGCTTTTTAATGTGACCCCATAGATATTTTATCGAACCCAAATCCAGGAATTTGCTGGCCAGGAAATGTGACAGAGCTCCTTGAAATGTACTTCAATCCAGTTAGAGAAAATTCGAATCCGATGTATTTTTCAGCTATTGTTCTAAAACATAGGCTTAAAGGGATGCCGCACAGCTAAAAAATCTGAATATAACTCTGGTAGTTGCATGTTAACTGCAACATACGGACCCAGATTAGAGCATTCCAACACCCCTGGAACATCAAACATTAACTTTGGTTGTAGCACATGTTGTACAAAAACTTCATTGGAGAATTAAGTGATGTGGAATGCCTTCTTAGCATCAATTGAGTAAATAGTATAAAAAGAATAAAATTCAAGAGTTCAAAGAAACTGCTTTCAGTCTTCTACAATCCCATTTTTAAATTTAATCCTTTGCCTCCCTCTTCTTTGTGCTCAGATGTTAGGAACTGGTTTTTGGATACTTGACGTCCAATACTCGGCAATCCCGATCAAGTGCTCATTGATCGGCGATACTGATTAGTGAGCACATACTTTTATGCTGATTTGATATGGACTGCGTTTTCTCCCACTGCTTTGAAATGCGTTTTACCAGACTTCGCCACTTCTTGCACATTATATCCTTTGAAAGGCAGAAATCAATTATGCTGTTTTGCCATCTTTCTCGGGATCCATCTTACAGAAAAGGAAAAAACATTCTTCATATTACAATTTTCTTACACATACTATGGACCACGTACCTTCCCTATATGCTTACATGTTCTCATGACTGGTAAAGTAACCTCTTGCAGAGCAAAATAGAATACTACTATGTGTTACCAAAACAAAATATTATGAATGATCAATATTATGAAAAATATTATGAATGATCATGAATGATCTAATTTCTTTCTTTTTCTTTTTTGTGTGTGCATGCTCTCAGGTACAGTGAGTACAGAGTGATAATCAGGGTGATTAACTTTGCCTGTAATTTTTTAACTCATATTTTGATCATGAGTAATGATGATTTTAATATGTAGTAACTCATATTTTGGACATGGGATGGCCCCACTATTCTACGGCTGCCGCGGCACCTATAAATCTATACTTACAGATGCCGCTGCAGCCATAGAAATAACAGCCAAGCATGTAAGAACAGAGACAAAGAAACTCATCAGTAAAGAATGCAATGGGCAAGAAGTGGTAGTGTCTTGTTAGTGTAAATAAAGTTCTGCGATACATTTTCGTTGCAGAATCTTTCAACATATCTACAATGGAGTGGAAAAACTAAGGACTAGGAGGAGAAATTAACTTAAAAGCAGAACATGGCAACAGAACGGACCGAAAGACCAATTAGGAAATAGACTTGGGAACGTCCAATAGGGCAAGCACATACATGGCGCATGACGAAGGAGGAGGAGATTCAGAAGTTTATAAATACACAGACAGTGTACACGCAGCAATTCAGTGAAAGTTGTTGCACGGTTTACAGTGATTTAATTCATATCAAACTGCTATTACTATAATGTGATATAGCCAACAGGCTTATATCACATCATAATTCATGATTGGAAAAGTGGGGACCATATCCGGACCATGATGAATTTATCCTAGATAGAAACATTGGAATATATGGAGAATGTCGAAGTGTGACAAGCGCGACGAAAGAGTTCGGGATCAGTCACAGCATCATTTCATGAGCCTGGTTAACATTTCAAACGACAGGAACAGCTGTCCGAACATTCGGCAGTGGTCATCTACGACGGCGACGGACTACTGGTATATTGTCTACAGGTGGCAGATAGCGAGAGAAATCGAAAGGCACTTAGAATAGACAATTGTACGTCATCTAAATCGTTTGATGTGGCTGGGAGATTGCACAAACATGGTCTTTACGCACGACCAGTAAAGGGTATGCCAGTAACGCTTGCAAATCTGAGATGTTGATTTCTGTGTGGCCAGGAACACAAAAACTGGACACAATAGGAGTGGGGTCGAGTACGCTTTACGGTTGAGAACCAATTTAGTCTGACGAGCTATTCTGAACGTATAAACATCTGGAAAGAGAATGGAAATGCAATAACGTCTCCAACCTCATCACAAGAGACAGATTTGGAGGTTCCCGAATCCTTGTTTGATGTGATATGCATGATAGGCGTACTCATCTGCTTATCTTCTCAAGGAAAAAATTGTGTTTTCTTCCAGAAATAGGAATTATTTGAATAATTTTCAGTACTGAAATTCAGTATTTACTCGTAAACTTTCATTATGGTAAATTTTGAATTTTAACAGCCATATTTGCACGGCGATTAGATTCAGCCTTAGAAGCTTATGTAGATATTTGTTTTAAAATTTTGTTTCTCTTTATTGCTATTGTTAAAGTATTGTTCCCCCTGGGGGGGTTTGACTCAAAAGAATTCCTGGGAAGTACTGACTAGGATCTCTCAACCGCAGGGGTATATAATTTGTCTTCACAGGAGTAGAGTCCCCGTTTATTCGGAAGTTGGTTTGGGCTTGGCAGGGACAGTACTGGTACTGTCGTGTCCATTCCGCTGGCCATTGTGGAGCTATATGGTTTGATAGTTTTATTGTCCGAGGAAAAACTTCCCCGTTTGGTGAAGTCGGCGAGTTTGGGCCGCCTTGTTGATCGCTCGAGGTTGCCTGCGGGCGTCTGGAACCTCAGTACTATGCTGTCCATATTCTTCCTCGCGGCCTTGCCCGTGGGGAGCCTTGAAGTTTTATTGACTTTGTTTTCCAGCCTGAGTGGTGTCCCATGCTCATTGACTTGGGTTTTCTTTGACTTCGAGCTGCTGTCCGCGGGTGGTCGGTGTCCGTCGATGGCAGTATTTTGTGTATTTCGCCCCCTTGGTGGGGTTGCTAGTTATTGGTCGCACCGTCGACTTGGATTGCTTCGGCTTCCCGGCTTCACCGATTGGTTAGCGGCCCCTCGGATCGCCTCTGGCATGAATAATTTCAAATCGTGTATGGGCAACTTAACCTGGAGCTCAGCTCGTATCCTGTTAAAATTCTGTTTTTTATTTACTTGTTTAGCAATTTTGAATAATAATTGAGTTTTTTTATTTAATATTTTGTTTATCTTTTATTTGCACCGGTTTGCCATATTTGTATATGTTTATTTTGTGTATTATTTAAAACAAAATTAATTCTGGGCCATTCGACATGATTGTAAGGACAGCTCATGTAGAACCCAAGGTATGAATGGAAATGCTTTTAAGAAGCCTTAAGTATAATTAGTTTTTCACTTTTGAAAATGCGCGTTTTTGAAGTTCCAGAAAGGATTCTTTTGAAAGGCTCTAGACTTGCTGTTCCCTCCTTGAAGGATGGCAGGTGCAAGAGACTATGAGACGGATGATCGAGACGATTGTTTCACGCTGTTGAGTTTCTTCTTAATGATTATTACGTTAGAAATTGATCTTTGAGTATTTTGGTGATCTATAAACATGCTGATAATACCATTGCCACCAACAACGTCAATCAAATACAGGCAAGGCATGTGTACCTTAAGTGTCTAATAAATTACAAAAATCAATAGCTATAATAAAAATATGTTATCAAGATATTTTAAGGAGTAGAAGTAGCCATGAAAAAAATCGATTTTCAGAAAGACGATTATATATATATAAGTGTAAATATATGAGTATAAGTATAATATAATATATATATATATAATATATAATATATATATATATATATATATATATATCAGTATGTATATATATATACTCATACACACATATATATATATATATATATATATATATATATATATATATATATATACTGATATATAGATATATCAGTATGTATATATATATACTCATACACACATATATATATATATATATATCAGTGTTTTGATTTCATAATGGTATTAGATACCAGATACTTGATTGCATTGTTAGATAACCGAGATGGTTAATAGGAGTCAATTTCTTAAGAAGAGAATACTCAAGCCGAAGCCACACACACAATTCAGATGAGCAGATATGAAAGCCATCGAAGACAGTCAGTAAAAGTTTCAACAGAGTAAATGCTAATAAGGTGGTGCCAGAAATTATTAACATAAACTATACGTTAGAAAATAAATAACAAAAGTTTACAGACTAAAGCAAATTCTATAAAAAATGCATGTTAAGCATTTCATCTTTTAAAACCGGCCTTTTGCTGTTATTTAAATTATTATAGTTATAAATTCTCTGTTGTTGCGAAAATACAAAGTGTGAGTCTAATTGGCCGAAGAACATAGTTCTGGGCAGTCTGGAGAAGACTTCGATTTGTTTTATAGGAATAAATTATTAATAATTATAATATACATGTACAAGAAATTATTAGAAGATTTAAGTAATGATCAGTTATTTTAATGTATATGAAAACGAAATGATTAGAAGATTTACGTAACGATCAGTTATTTTAATGTTATGTAATTGAATGATTAGAAAATTTCTTTAACTATCTAAATTTGTGAATAATGTTTAACTATCTAAATTTGTGAATAATGTTTAACTATCTAAATTTGTGAATAATGTTTAACTATCTAAATTTGTAAAAGAAATATTACTGATCAATTAACCCAATTATTTGAATGTTTATTTAACCTAGAAATTAATAAATATGTTAGTGATTAAATATCGTATGTGTTATTTTGTTATTTATTTGATGGTCTGTCACTCTATGTATTTAAGTCTAAGGGCTCTTTTAGAAACACGGCTACTGATTTATTTAGGGTACTGCTAATTATTTTTAAGAGTTATAAACACAGCTCAAACTATGTTATACATCTACTAATCACCTTTTAATAATTATTATCTATTATTAAAATATTGGATGGTTACTGCTGAATTATTTGGTTATTTGAAGGTGCCAAGAAACTATTTAAACCCTTTGAGTTTTATTACGATATTTTAGACGAACTGATTTATTGATATGTATGAGTATTTCTTCTCTGGTGTTTGCGAGGTCGAGTTCTTTGAAATTATCTTCTGATTATCTCTTGAAAATGTTATGAAACTGAATGAGTATTTAGCTCATGTGAATTGAAAGATTTTTTTTTTTTTTTTTTTTTTTTTTTTTTTTTTTTTTTTTAAATGAGAGACAGTATTTTTATTACCTGAGTACCAGCGAATATTTATTTCCTCTTTATTTTTGTGGCACCAGTGAAAGGTTAAATTGAAAAAATCAGTTAGCATGAAAAATAAGTAGGATAGTATTACACTAAAAATTCCTTTTTACGCAACAATCTGGATAATCAATACAAATGCGACAGCTTGACGTTGTGAATTATGACCGCACCGTCGAGTCAGTTTTTGATATTTTACAGTATTTATTATTTCCCATTAATATTTTACAGTATTTAACAATATTAGTGGGGAATCACCCAGAATCGTGGCATCGGGAATTCTCAGGCTGAAATCTTTATTGATTGCTATAGTATATTAGAAATTCCACTGATCTAGAAATGCAGAAGAATACCCCAGTGTTAAAATACATAGGAATCCCATATATACTTTATAAAAAGATTATAAAGTATTTCTCCAGCCTTCTTAGCATGCTTGTAGTAGTAGCACGCTGGGTGAGTATTCCAGAGGACCATGGTTTGATTCCCAGCGAAGGCTCATTTTTCATCATTTCTGCTTTAAAAAATAACCTAATATCTCTACAAGGTGCTGCGAACAGCCGGACATAATGGCCACTTGTCAATGTGTTATGGAGGACGCGGGACATATGCCTGTTAACCTCTGTTAAACTTCAGGCGTCCCCGTCCTCCGTCACCTGTCGCCTGTCAATGTGTTTTTATTATTAAAATCAAGACTGGAAAAAGATTTAATAACACAATGGAATGCGAATTGTTCAAGAGACAGTACAGGCCAGACGAACATACTTACGAAAATCATCAAGGAATTTAATAACTTCAAATAATGCAATAACTTATTTCCTTACCTCACATGGACCTTTTATTTCATATCTTCATCATTTTGGCTTCCATCATACTGACAACTGCATCTGTGTCTCAATAGGAATAATAGATCATTATATGTTTCAATGCTCAATAACCAAAGATCTCCACTTTCGCCTCTTCACAGCTGTCAACGCACAAATCTGGTTGAAGCAACTTCTTAAAAGTAATTTCCTTCGTAATAAGCTGCATGACTTAAACAAATATCTAATAGAAAACTGTGAACATTTAAAAGGAACATCCAAGATTCAAGATATTTCATTGTTTTAATATATTTCATATTTCAAGATATTTCATCTCATAAGCTGCTACAGAACTTTCATATTAGAATTAATTAATTTTTATGTATATTTATCAAAATATTTCTTATAACTTTATTTAATATATATATTTATGTATAATGAATTAATGTATATATATATCTTATAGATCAATTGCCTCAAACTTTCATCCTGATTAGAGAATTTAATGGTCCCAATCCTATCTAGCAAAATTTCAGGATTGAAATTCACTAGGTGGGCAAATGGAAAAACTACCTGAGACCCAGTATGCTTGCTAAATAATGGACAACAGATTTACTTCTCTCAGCATACAAAGGAACTTCTACACCAGACGTGCGACGTGAAGATTTGTCTCTTCAATATTATTTTAACGTATTATCTAAACCTAACAATATTTGTAAGGTTCTTCTGCTGGAATACCCAGGCCGTAAAACATTTTAAAATCCCTCCTTGGGAAGATTCACAAATTCTGTGGGTATGTTTTCAGCATCTAAACAAAAGAAACAATAATAAGATCATATATAAATTAATTTTTCTTGAGTGCAGTAAGAATCAGTTACTTTGTATAGATATTAGGTTAATTGGAAAAGATGTAGGGATGAAACATTAGCAACCGCCTTCGCCGGGAATCGAACCACGGACCTCTGGAATACCGGCCCAGCGTGCAAAACCACTACACCACGAAAGCACGCTAGTAAAGCGGGAGAAATACCTTATAGGTTAATTTTAATGTTACGTTTCGGAACATTCGATAGAATTGTTATTTTTATTGCAAATAATCTACTTACAAAATGTTGCATCAAAACTATGCTATTGAAACAAATTATAGTGTTCCATGATAAAGGTGGACATTAGAAAGTGTTCCACTTATAAAAAAGATTAAGAACCGGGGATAAAGTAATAATAATAATAATGTTGATCATAATTGATAAATAAATAAACACAACTAAGAAAGGTCTTTACTATTCTGTTTTAGCCGCATGATGTTTTGATGAATAATGCATGTATGCATAGAATTCTGTATTTTAATAGAAATACACAGTCTTGTACTCATTAATATTTGGAAATAATTAAATTTTCAAGCAGTATGTAGCAAAATTTGTTCTTAAATTATTTGTATACATCAAAAATTTAAAATCTAAACTGGACAGCTCAGCCTGCAAGTTTATTTTTGTTAACTAAACTCTTGTTGAAGATTTGTTATCGTGTTTACCTTACTGTTAATTTGTTACGTACTCATCAGTATTTGCAAATAATTAAACTATTAAGTAGGACACACAAACTATTAATATCACGTGTGCTTTAAATATTTCAATTATGTATTATCTGGGCATAAATGATAATTTACCGAACATAATTTATATTCTACTAAGATTCTTTATATTTTAAAATTATATTATTATGGCAATTGATATTGTATTTATACACATAGTGTAAAAAGTGCAAATATTTCTAAGCCATATCTTATTCTCTGTATTTTAATAGTAAAGAAAGCATCACACATTAAAAAGCAAATAACTGCCATTAAATATGAAGTAAGGCCTATAAGAAAAGAAGATATTCCCCAGACACTGGACATCTGGAAAGAGACTGGAGTGTATGGAGGAGACTATCTTCACACATGGCTGGCATTTGATCCCGAGGGAATTCATGTTGCTGTTACAGATTCAGGTATGTCCCTTAAATTCCATTATCAAAGAAAACATTATCATGCAAACACTTTAGTAAATATAAAGACACGTTAAGAGATATAATTACACATGAATAAGGAATAGAAACTTTGTCTGATATGAATATATGATAATCTGTCATTTCTAATACTAAAATTAACCCCTAATTAACCACCTTAGCTTTCTTCATGAAGCTAGTCGTTAAGGCTTGCTTTCGCGGGATTACATTATTGTGTTAGCTAGTTTCCGATTATTATTATGCATTTCTACAATTCCTAGTAATTGCTCTTACAGAAGAAAATTCACTTATGATGTACATTACTGACTATTAAAATTGCTACACTATGAAGGGGCCATGTAACAAGCTTCAAATTTTCATTAAAAGTACAACATGTTAGGATATAGAAATGATTATCATTCCAGCGCATGCACAGTATGATGTAACGCCAGCTACATTGTGTACAAAAAGAGATATTTAAAAGGGAGTTTCTCATTCAAAAATCATGCGACACCGAGCTGGGACTTAATTTGATGTCCAAATGGCCGAATAACTCAGAAGTCAGGTAGCTATGATTTATCCAAATGGCCGAATAACTCAGAAGTCAGGTAGCTATGATTTATCCAAATGGCCGAATAACTCAGAAGTCAGGTAGCTATGATTTATCTAATTCGCACTGAACTTCTTTCGGGAAACCGATACTGCTAAATATTTCTAATAGCGCATCAGTTACTGCTACCTATCCTATATCTCTGGGGAGGAGGGGATGGGAGGGCTTCTCTGGTGGGTCTGGTCTTCCCATTCAGCTATTTTTCGAGGCCAAACAGACTGCAGTTATTATGTACCTATTCCCAACTGATAAGGGACTACATTCATCTACATTAATTTTTAGATTTTTTCTTGGATAACTGGTACAAGTTTTTAATCGATCTTAAACACTGACTACCAATAAGTATTTGGACACCTGTGATAGAAAAGAAAAACTAACTTTATTCAAAATCAATAGTTGGTAGAGCCTCCACGAGATTTAATTACAGCGTGGACCCTCCGGGGCATACTTTCCACAAGTCTTTGTGTGACAGCTAGTGGTATTTTCTTCCACTCGGCTTGGAGAAGACATAGAAGTTTCTTCACCGATTTTGCACCCCTGAATTCGGCGATGTAACTCGTCCCAGAGGTTCTCGATAGGGTTCAGGTCTGGACTCTGGTCAGTCCAGTCCATTCGATGAACTCCATTGGCACCATACCAAGCCTTGGTTAACGTCGAAACATAACAACTGGCATTGTCATCCTGAAAGTAACAGAGGTCCAACCCGTAAAACTGCCACAACGTAAGAAGCACATTGTCATCCAAAATAGTGCAGTAGGCATCGGAGTTGAGCTTACCATGAATGGGGACCAAGGGTCCAGCCTATATCAGGAGAAACACCCCCAGACCATAATTCCACCTCCGCCGAACTTGACTGTTGGCAGAATGCATTCTGGAAGGAGACGTTCTCCAGGTAGATGCCAGACCCAGACCCTGCCATCCGAACGGTAAAGGGTGAACCTTGATTCGTCACTCCAAAGAACCCGTTTCCACTGATCTACGGTCCAGTTTCGATGTGCTTTGCACCACATTAACTGAGCAGCGCGGTTGGACATTGTGATCAAAGGCTTATGGGCAGCAGCCCGACCATGAAAACCAAGCAGATGTGCTTCCTTACGGATGGTATTCATTGAAACAATACTCTCGGATGCCTGTTGAAACTCCTCGCGGATGAGGGCCATCGGTTGGGTGCGGTTCTTCCGAATTTCTCTGGACAGCACTCGTCGGTCTCTATCTCCCAGTTTCGTTGGTCTGCCGACTTGGGGCACATTCCGACAATCACCGCTCACCTTCCACTTCTTAATCACATAGGCCACTGTCGATTTTGGGTACTTCAGATCGCTAGATATGTCCCTTAAGGATCGGCCACATTTGTGATACCCGATAATTATACCTTTCTCGAAATCAGAGAGCTCCGAACTGCGAGGCATCTTGCATGCGACTAAAGCCGATGCTGTTTCCTACACAATATATACTGGCAGAGTCCGTGACGTTTAGGATCGCAGATATCGTCATTTGCATAGGTGTCCAAATACTTATTGGTAGACAGTGTACTTTTTTTATACGTTTTCCTGTCTCTTGATATCCATAGCAGTATCGTATAAAGTCATCAATTTCTGTATAACAGTTCCGCCAAAAATAATGACGAGCTAACTCATTCCTACACTTGCGATGACAGTATTCAAATCTTCTGATGTATGCTCAATCAGCTCTCTCTCTGAGCCTGTCGTTTGTTTGTCGATTCAAGATGAGATCCGTCAGTTTCCTCCTCACCACTATTGTCTTCAAAAGCCGAATTTTCCTCCGTCTTTTCAGAATTAATCTCATTGATTTCTCGTCTTTTCTGGCTCTCTTTTGCATTGGAGGAAAAAATTCCTTTTTGTCTGGGATCATGTAATGGGATTTTCTGTCACCAGAACATTACTATTTCCGAAGAATTTATGAGCTTGAATGTATTGTGTCCTAGAATGTAGTGTTCCGAATAAAGGGACTTATTTATAACTGCGGCCTTCCCAAGGATTCGCCCAAACTCATCTTGAATCTTTACTTTATGGAGGACACACCAATTCGTGATCCAAAGGTTGATGGAGAGAGATCCTGCACATAATAATGGACGTTGTATTATATCTTCTAACAAACTGTCTTTATTTAAGTGTGTCTAACGAAACCCCTAGCAGCGCCTGATCACCAAGTGTCCTCTGCCTAGCCAAGGAAATTATTTTCATTTAATATCTCTGCTTTCCATACATAATTCAACAAATACTAGTTAGAGCCCCTAAAACAGGGACAGGTATCATATTTACAAAAGACCATTTGAAATGAAATTATTGACTTAACGTTGGAAACAGTTCAAAAATGCTGCTTGTAAGTGTATCGATAGCATTGTCGATATCTCGATAAGTTTTAAGAATGTCGATGTTAGGCAGGCTAATCTAAAGTGGATCTTGAAAACGGCATTCAGTCAGTGATTTTCCAGTGCTCATTTTCCTTTGCAGGATGCTACATAGAATAGTATATTACATGGTAAGTTGAGTGTTTGGCGGGTTATAGAAAAGTTGAATGGGAGAAGACTTGAAACTGTCACCAGTTCGTGACCAATGCTTCGATCCTTCATTGATTAGACATGACTGAAGAAACTTTCTTACGTAAATAACAACCCCCTACACGTCTGAGACTCTGGCGATCGCAATTGTAAGTACGATAATTATGAATATTAATTCTCCTGAACAGTGAGGCACACTTCTTTGTAATAAATGTATAGCAAAATCATAACTGTTAAGAAATGTTTGGAGTCCATTAATTTTGTTGTGAACGCAGTGAGTGTTCCAAAATAGTAATTTTATAAATTTTTTAATGTGGTGTTTGTCCATTAAAAGTATTTTTTTGCATTAACAGTGTCTTGACTTTTGTGCTCGGTTTGTCGCATTTTTTAGGAAATAAGAAACCCAGAGCTTTTAATTACTGCCACTAATTCAACCAGATCTGCGAAAACATTTGCAGCTGCATTAATAGTTTCAGTGCACAGTCCTATGGAAAGCTCCTGTCCAATTATTTGTTTTCTACCACTCAATTTGAATATAATTTGGGTTTCCTTTGTTCCTTTTAGGGAATTTCTCACATCCTCTAAAGTTTGAAGTGTGAGAGGGATTACAGTTTACACAACGAGGGGGAATATCTTTATTTTTGCGAGGACAATCGTACGGAAAATGTCCGTATCCACGTTACGTACCTTAGATACGTAATTACAGTTGTTCTGGGTATGATGTAATTTGTGACATTGAAAACATCTAATCCTACTTTTATATGTATTTACTTTCATTCTTAAATCACAAAGGTAGTTTTCGCTATAGATTTATTTAGATTTAACATTTTTGGGGAGTGTGACTAACAATAGTGGAATCTTTTGATAAATCTATTGCCAAGAGGATACCCACTGAATGCAAAGGCCAATGAACCTAACAACTGTCAAAGTTTCTTTACTATATCTAACTCTTTTGTAGAACTGCCAAATATGACTCCTTTGGTTATAAGCAAATACATTCATTCTTCAGTTGGGGGCCAAACAATGTAAAATGTTCTTTCTGAAGATTTTTTTATTGCTACAGTTTTGCTACGGTTGCTCGTTTTGCTGCCTTTCTACGATTAATTAAACTTAGGCAAACCGCTGTAACTGTTTGAACATATAAAACACTACACTTTTTTCGAGCCGTGATCTCGGAAATCGATCTTCTTTTCGTTTAAGAGGGAGAGCTTATCTCCGAGCTTACTGGTCAAAATGTCTGTGATGCTAGGTGAGTCAAGGTACGTAAGTAAAGTCAATTTGTCAACACGAAACACATGATCTTGACTTTCAAACTTTCAAACTGCGTTATCTGTTTAAGAATATTTAAGACCGAAACTCTATGTAGTTCCTCCAGTGTTAGGGTTTTGGCCAATCAAAGATGTCCTATTGTATCAACCTGACATGTGCCCGATGCTCGATGGTTATTGGTTATGTAATAATTGTACTGCTGCACTCTTGTGTGTAAATTGCAAGGGTAAGCACACAGTATTGTCTCAATCGGGCTCAAGATGCAAATCGGGAACAGAAGTTTAGGCTAAGATATACTCCTTGTTAACATAGTTTAAATTCCTCTTAAGATAGAGGCAGATAGCCCTCGTGTGCTTTGCCATAATTAAATACACACCAAACACACACACCAAACACCTCTTAAGATAGTTGAAGGCTCACAACCACGACCAAATACGTCTTTTGCCTCAATGCCATAAATGTCAATTCGATATATTGCTACACAAACCTCTCTCTATGTATTAAGAAGCATTATCAATAAGTTGATAATCAGTAAGCAATAATAAGAATAAGAAAGAATCAACACGCATATTACAGTCAAAATAAACAATAATATCAAAACAAACCAAAAAAAAATTTCTCTTTAAAAACAAAGAAAGAACCAACGCACATATTACAGGAAAAAAAAAAAAAAAAAAAAAAAAAAAAAAAAAAAAAAAAACAATAATATTAAAACAAAACAAAAATGTCGCTTTAAAAACAATAAATAAAAGTCGAATTGTTAACAATTTAATAGAAGATATGATATCTAAATTTCTCTAGTTGGGTAATATGGAAATAGAAGAGGAATTAAAACACATCTTTTCACGTAAAACCAAAATGCAGGATTGAAAAAAAGAACATCCAGAATAATTACCATCCTCGTCTCATGGAACTATGTCCGCTTCTACCGAAATCTCGTCAACGTGAAGGATGTGATCGATGTTCATTAGTCCGTGTATTTGCGTAAAACGATGCTGAAACAAGAAGAAGCAAAGATTCAAAGGTATGCTATTGCCATTAAAAGATAGTCTGGTGCATAAGCGTGTCATAGGAAGAGTGGGTCTCTTCCATTCCTTTAGTTTTTAGTCTGCGTTTTATATGACAATATGTTTGCAAGCTGTGGCTGTAAAAATGCATTTTCCGTACTTTGATTTATGCTTATTTGTTTCCAAATGATCTTATAGACCAATTGCCTGAAACTTTAATTCTGATAAGAGAATTTAATGGTCACAAGCCTCTCTATAAAAATTGCAGGATTGAAATTCACTAGGTGGACAAACTGCCTGAGACCCAGTATGCTTGCTAAACAATGGACAACAGATTTACTTCTCTCAGCTTACAAGGAACTTCTACGCCAGACGTGCGACGTGAACAATTGTCTCTTCAATATTATTTTAACGTATTATCTAAACCTAACAATATTTGTAAGGTTCTTCTGCTGGAATACCCAGGCAGTAAAACATTTTAAAATCCCTCCTTGGGAAGATTCAGAAAATCTGTGGGTATGTTTTCAGCATCTAGACAAAAGAAACACTAATAAGATCATATATAAATTAATTTTTGAGTGCAGAAAAAATGTATCAGTTACTTTGTAGAGACATTAGGTTAGTGTGGAAGCAAGAGATGTGAAAATGAGCAATGCTTTCGCCGAGAGTCGAACCACGGACCTCTTGAATACGCGTCGAGCGTACTGACCACTACACCACGAAGGTATGCTAGGAAGGCGGGAGAAATACCTTACAGCTTTCCCATATACATGGGTGGGTCGAATACTGTCAATTTTGTTGGAGCACTATTCGTGATTGGAATCCATACCAAGGGATAATATTTGCATGAGGCTTGCAAATATTATCAGATATGCACTTCAGAATTAATTGCTCTGTGTTATATTCTTTCCTTTAAATTTAAGCAACCAGAGAATTTTTATTATTTATACTGAGTATAGTGCGCTAAAAGCTCTAGAAACGTTTTCAGATGCTCGGAACTAATTAATTGATGAAACTCTAGGTATAAATTTGAACGCCAAGAGCATCAAATTCTTTAATTCTGGGTTCCTGGACATATAAAGATAACGGAAAACGACTTGGCGGATGAGAAAGTCAACTGAGAAATTTCTTGGAATGGGGATTTTCCTTATGGAGTTACCAGAATGGTCATAAGGCTAAGAATTGGGAATAAATGGTAATTATTCTTGGTTGATCAGCCTTTTCCAGCTTGGGAAGCTTTAAATCTTGGGAGGCCAGTAGAAGCGGGAAAGAGGAAGTAATTTTAACCCATCTTAAAATTGGTCATCCTGGAATCAACATAATTACTTGAAAAACATTGGAGAACAAATAAAAATTGAACAAATATTGCAATTGAAGAACAAGTATTTTTGTTCATACCGTAACACTCTTCTATCAGAACGCCGTTTTTAACTGAGTATTTATACTGTAACAGAATAAATACTGGTTTAGATTGAAGTATTTGAGTGCCTGTGACCTACTTCTCGACTGTTAAATTAGAAAAGAATTCAATTCCAATTTATTTCAGTACCTAAAAGTGCTTGGCTTTTATTATTTAATTTGATTTAGCTTAAAAGACTGTTAAATTAGAAAAGAATTCAATTCCAATTTATTTCAGTGCCTAAAAGTGCTTGGGTTTTTATTATTCAATTTGATTTAGCTTAAAAATGCCTTTTAGTTTTTAATACTAATTTTATGCATTTTAATGTATATCATGTTTTGTGATTTTATCCCTGTTTACACTGGAAGCCACTATCTGAGCTCCATACATTAAGAATTTCATCATTTATATTATTTCATATGACTTTATTCGTCGGATTTTGTTTAAACTTGTTTTTAGTGCTGACTTAGATATACATCTAATTAGTGTTTGTGTATATTTAACTTGTATTGTCACATCATAACCTTTGAAATTAAGCGTCAGAAAATCCACTATCAACATTACCACTTTTAGTGTAATGATATCGAAATTTCTTCTGATATTGTATTTCTTCCTTCTTCAGGGGAAGTATTAGGAGCATGTGCTGGAGTTATAAATCATGATGATTTAGCTTTCTTTGGTGCGTACAGTGTGCGTGAGAAATACCAACGTCAAGGAATAGGTTTCAAGGTATGTCAGCAACCTAACGCCGCATACATTGTATAAAATATTCGAATACGTAAGTATTTTGTTGAAGTTTGTGTTATTAATTTTTACTTCGAAAACTGTGCTTTCTAACAAAATCGTAAAAGGAAAGATTATGAGAAATTTAAAGCGACTTTGCCATACAGCGTCGTGAAACAATGATCAACTGGCAAATGGTAGATCTCACTCACGTTTCCCGGCAGGAAGACGGTTAGAATTTCACATAGTCCTCTCTGAAAAAAACTCAATAATCCTTACAAAGACGGTTTTCAACAGACAACATAAATTACTTGTTTGCATCATATCTTAAAATACATCAGAAACTGTATAAACACGCCCATGAAAATCATTATGTGGCCTTCATTTTCATAATTATTTCTAATAGGTATATATGCTTTCAGCTATAAAAGTATTGTAATGATCCAGTTATTCATCTACTGGTACTTGAAAATTTAATTCAGTTTTATAAAAACTACGAGTTTAACTTCCCCCAGTCTATATAATAGCTAATTTAGTAAATTTATGCTCATCATAAAAAAATAATATTCTTAAAATTTGATTAACATTTTAATTAACAACAAATAGTTTAATTAACAGCTTAATTTAAACTGTTAATTTTGTTAAGCAGTTAAAAACTGTTTGATTAATAGTTTAATTAATAGTTTAATTTAAAAATTTGGATTACATTCCCGGTGGAGCCAGTTGGAAAATATATTATAATAATTCGATGTTGATTTTTTTCTTTTTAGTATTATTCAGTGATATAGTTTTGTTATTTACTGTGAGTAACATTCCTTAATTTTTAATTTTGCACAAATGGTACGCCGAAAGAATTTTCACACAAGTAATTTGTAAATTTTCAAATACTAAAAGTAAATGATTAATATTTAATGCAGCTTCATTGCTGCAGAATTACATAAAAATTCATTAAATCAGAAGTATATTTTCATTTTTAATTTATGCAAACAGTAATGATACGAGTAGGCTAAGTGCTGATACTGTAATCTACCTCTGTAAATTCTACCACACGAATTCTATTAGATTCTGTAAGTAAGGTCTTGATTTTGAAAAATATTATATTGATCAATTCAGTCTGCAGAGCAGAGTCTCACATCTTATATATTAACTTGAGAAACCTCTTTTCTAAACTGATATTCATATTTATTTACATACGAATGCAAACATTTTTCTCTTTAACTTGTCCATGATACCTGAGCATGAAAATTGAAAATGAGTAGAAAATTAATGCAACTTGAAAAGATTAATAGAACTTTAGATTTATATAGTTAATTAACAAAAGTCATTAATGAATTACACTTTTATATAAAGTTTAACTAACAATCTTTTAGGAAAAATACAATCTAAAAGTCTTTAGAAAAAGGAAGATAAATAACTGCGTTACATCTATAAACATTTATTAGTTAATGATAAAATTATTTTATTTTAAATTTGTTAATCTGATATTGTTATAATGGAAATTACGTATCGTTTCGTTTCCATTTATTCTAAACGCGTGTATGCGATGTTATCCTCATGCAATGATTTGTAGGTACTTTATTTTTACCAAGATATTTTCGACGACGATATTTTTAAGCTGCGAAGTTTTTGAATCGCTTTAATCTCGCGCACGATATTTTAGAACTGCGATGTTTCTTCCCATGATGTTTTGTACCATGACGTTTTCTCCTTACATTGTTTTCTCCGCGACGTTTCTCCGCGACGCCCGCGATGCTTTCAGCTGTAACCAACAATACTGAACACCCAGTTTTCTAATAATAACTCCGCAGCGGATTTTCATGACCTATGCTTTACTGCAATTGAAGAATATTAATAATTTAGTTTGAATTCTTAAAAAATACTGTGTATTTATATTCTTTATATCTTTTCAGATATATCTTGCGTGCAACGAGCATATTGGTGCAAGAAATGCAGGCCTGAACGCTGTACCAGGAAAACTGGAACTTTATCGAGATAAATATGGATTCTCTATAGTTGAAAACAAATGGGACTTATTAGTCAATGAAATATATGAAAACATTTCTCCTGAAAACTTATCGTATGAAGTTCCCAAAGGTGTTTACATCGAAAACTGTCGAATCGCTCATCTACCTTTAATTTACGAATATGATTGCAACCTCGTGGGCTATAGACGTGATCTGGCGATTAAATTCATGGTTCAAGAACAAGACACCGAATCATTAGTGGCAACCAAAGATGGTGAATGTGTTGGGTTTGGAGTTATCAAGAAGACTTATCGAGGAGTACATCACATAGGTCCGCTGTATGCCAATGATGCTGCAGTAGCGGAAGTAATATTAAGGAGGCTCATTGTGTCTACTCCTGAAATAAAAGGTCTCTACATGGCAACCGTCAGTAATAATGTACCCGCTAATGATTTTGTAAAGAAACTTGGCTGCCCAAAGTTGGAACTATGTCCGCGGCTCACTCGCAAAGAAATGGCGAATGTCGATACAAATAGAATTTTCGCTCTCTTCGATATGCATTTTACTCTCTTCTGAAGAACTTACAAGCTTCATGCAATTGCACATACAAGGATGCATAATATGTTAACGAATTTGACCTTTAGAAATCTCCTTTATTCAGAGGAAAGGCGAATTTTTCTTTAAAAATTTTAATTTAATAATTTACTTTCAGTTATTCAGATATAAATGAAGGATGCTTCCCTCTGACATAGGTGCGTTACATCCGATCGTGTCAAAACCCATTGAATTTAATGGTAAATTACCTAATGTTTTGGTCACCAATGAAGGGATCGAAAGTGCTTCAAAGCAGGGTATGGGAAAACCGGTTTAGGGCCACTCCATTTAACTTCCTACCTCCATGTGCTGCAGGTCCCGCAACCCCCAGTTTAAGACACCCTGCTTTATATTAACTGTAAAAGGTAAAAGAGTTGATTACTGGGCTTCTAGTTTAAGTTCTGAATGATGTAATTATTAGAAGTTGACTTCTTGGCCGAAACTAAGCGTAGATTCTTACATATAAAGCCTGGTTGTTGTGTGTGTCCATTTCCTTATTTCACGGATGCTTTGTTATCAGAGGGCTAAATAATCCATGGTTTCAGCCATCCACATTAAGAAGCAAGTGTCTGACTATTTTGCTGAGGGGTTGTTGGGGACGGAGGACGGGAATACTTGGTGCCTAACAAAGGTAAGCAGGTATATGTCCCACGCCCTCCACTATCTTAAACCGCAGCTCCCAAGACCCAGGAGTTCTGCCTTGGGAATGCACTAATGCTGGGACAAGAGAAAATGCATTTCAAAATTCAATTTTTAGACTATTAATTGTCTGTTTTGCATATTATCTTATACTAATTAAACTCAAATATGACAGACTGTCTTGCACTTTCTTTTTCTTATGCAAAACTGCCACTCAGAAATTCAGATATAAATGAAGGATGCTTCCCTCTGACATAGGAGTGTTCTGAAGCAAGTGTGCGAAGTGCATTGTGCAGTAATCTTAACATGTATGGGGTTAACTAACGAATACTGCGACATTCATTAGTAATGTAAACAAATCATGCTGAAAAGTTCCAAACTTTGAATGTACTGCAATATGTCTGGAACACTGAGAGCTGATAAGTGAATAATCGTTTAGCTGAGAGAGATAGAAACGTAAATGTACGAAGGATTAATTACCTTTTATTATTCAAAATAAATTTAACAAACAACTCCTTCTTGGAGTTACAATGCAGCCTCCACTTGGGCTTGAACTCAGGAGTAATAAGCAATAAAATTTAACTAAAAAGATATAGCCGAAGCTATCAAGATTCTAACAGAGATGTCCCCTTAACGGCGAAGCTATCAAAGGCTAAAGTACGACTAAGCGTAATAATAGGTTGTGAGAGAGTATCGCCAAAAGACTAACGCGCGCTAATCAGAATCTCTGGCTCTCTAACAAAGCAAGTAGAACTTCACAGTTAAATACTTCTTCTCCTCATTCCGCGATTCTGAAAATACGTTCTGGCCGGAAGCTGTAAGCTGAAATTAAGGAAAGACAGGAAAGTAACTATAACTCAAAATTAACTGTTAGAAAATTAAGATAAACCTTACGATATTAATTTTGAATAAGTAATATACAAATGTAAAGCATGTAATATAAAAAATGAGGGATATGTATATGAAGTTTCGTGTTGCTTGGTAGCATCAAATGCTCGAAATTTCTAAGACCTAAAATGCATTATCTCTTATATCTTGTAAAGTACTACAGAGACTAAGGAGGATGTAAAAGACCCTTTTATTTAACTTAAAGGAAAGTTTAAGAGATGGCACTGATTCTTGCTTACGGGGCAGCCAACATACATGGCTTAAAGCAAGAGTAATGAATTTTACTTTATGAATTTGACGTTAACCCATCTGGTACACAGACACAAAACGCGCAGGTTGGCTCTGGGGGATGTGAAAAGCCTAATGATGAGAATAATGCAACGCCGCAGAACACTGCTCTCAAGAGAATCAATTAGCAAACGTGGCCCTCACCAAACGGAAATCGTTGTAATTCTACCCTTTAAAACCTTCCTTTTAATACTGTCTTCTTGCTACCTCACTTGACTACACTTCAACTAGAAATTTACATTCTGGCAGAAAAATGAGAAGCTATAAAGACAGTAAAGTAAATTAAAATAAAATAACTGGTTAGTAAAACTGAACGAATCATTATATTGTTCGGTACGGGTTCGTGGATTTGGAGTGGCTGATGACAACATTGGATGAAGAATCAAAACACAATTTATTCGTCCGTATTACGCAGGACAGTTCCAAAGAGACGTTTACAGCCGTCAAAAAACTATGATAAACAAGCTAAAACAATCAACAACACAGCCTTCAGGCTATAACGGTGAAGACAGCTTCACGGCAAAGCACTAAAGTGCGTCTTCCGACTCGGTTGATCACTCTTGAGCTCATCTCTGAACTCAAGATACTACTAGTGAACTCATCGTTTTACTCTACTAAAGATATTCTCTCAGCGTAAAGGCAGGGTATATATAGCTTTTGACCTGCCTTCGGGAACATTCTAGGGAAAACCGGTACAAATTCCTTCTAGAATGATCTCGCTGCGTCTATGGAAAATCGCCAATTTTGTCGCCAAATCTAGCAAATATGCTTTTCCTTGCATGTTTTGTATTTTTCAGTATTTTTTACTTTTAAAGCCTTTTTTAATTTTCGAGAGCATTTGTAGAGCCTTTTAGGGCGTCCCCAGAAAGCATATTGACGCATATTCAAGCAAACTGAAAAAAAAGTTAGCCATTAAATAATATCTTAACGTCTTTATAAAGAATTATGTGAAGTTTTCGTATCCGCAAGCATTCCTTTACAAAACTAAGTATTTCTAGATTACCACTTCCTAGAAAAATGTGCAGGCCAAATTATACCTCAGGAATCTACGCTGAATAAAAGTTGTGAGACGATTATTTCTCGGAAACAAAGAAGAAAATTAGAAAAAATGCAAAAGGAAAAAAGGTGTTCATTTGATGGATTGAATGATGCTGATAGTCGTCACGCGTGCAGTGTGATAGTAGGTACCCTGAATCCAGATTTAGATTGCAAGAAAGTGAACCACTCTGCAACTGTCAAATGCTTGAAAAATCACTAAATATTTTATTGCGAGGTGGCACACAACACAATCACATGTTCTTAAGCGGTGCTTGTATCATTAAGGGTTAAAGCAGGAAAATAGTAAAGGGATTTTATCCCAAGCTAGTGCAGGTGACTTACCTTGCTTAAGCGCTGCTGATCTCACTGAAGAAATCCTTGCAGATCACCCGGATAATTGACAAGCTTGTACCTAAAGTAAGGAAAATGTTCTTAAAAGCACCATATCGTACATAATGTCTTAAGTCCCAGGCTTTTAATCTAGTTTTGCCTTCGAAGGCTGTTGCAACATGATAGGTAACATGTTTCAATGCGTGTATGTACTGTAGCGAAATATTTCAAACTGTGAAGTCAGTCGTGATCAGCTATGTTGCTGCTTCGATTCAAATTGCACAGAACGTTTTCCCCACGTACAAAATTGGAGGAAATCTGCCTACATCAGTTACAATTTCGTCCTTCTAATTTCAACTCTTAAATCCTTACAAGTGCAAAATATGAAGTTTGTCGATGCAACAAAATACGCTAATAATTAGGCAACATTTAAAAAAATGCCAAATGTCAAGCTTCAGGCTTTAATTAAAACCTTGTAATTTAAAAGTACTTTTTATATCTTATTTTATACGTTTTAATATATGGAATAGGAAAATAAATAGCAAAGTAAAAAATGATTGTTTCTGAACGCAGGAAAAACTGTTTGTTTTATTCAGTGCAGAGAGGAAGGAAAACTAAGTTTCTTTCTAATCTTCATTCGATCGGTAGTCTTTTAATAGACATATTGGTATAAATTTATATTTGATTTAGAAAACTAATCTTATTATCAGTTAAAAATCACGGAATTGTTAACAATAAAGGATAAAATCTTTTGACTTACAGTTAGACAAATATTCGAACTTTGTTCGATTATCTAAACATTGCGTCGTTAAAAAATATTAAACAAAACAAACAAAAAAAAAAAAAAAAAAAAAAAAAAAAAAAAAAATCTGAAATGTTTCAGATTTTAAATTACGTCCAAAGGGGCGTTTTTTACGTTTTTGAGTGTTACCTTTATTTATTAAATATCATGTTCTTTGCACTTAAACCATAAATTCAGTTCAAGAGCAATATCGCAAAATAATGCTAAATTAAGCATATCTTTAGAATTTCCGATATACAGAGTCTCGCGAGCTGGAGATAAAAGTATTTTTTTTCTATATAACGTTGCCATTTCTCGCTTTTAAAGCATTGAGTTTGTAAATCAAAAATTCGTTAAAGTTTTACAAAATATAAAATCTATAATAAAACAAATTCCAAATTTGGGATTTCAGATGCCCATATTCGCAGTAGAATTTCGTCATTCAAAATTCGATGGCTCTATGTACCATTGTTTTATTACAATGCGAGAAATAGACAATCATTTATGCAGATTTTTCATTATTTAATTTCTTCAAATATAATGCAGGACTCTAACATTTTGTGGCAACAGTTTGATAAGTGAACCGACGTTTATGAGTCCGACGCAAAATCGCAAAACGAAAACAATAGTCCTTCAGGGACAAAGCCCCTTTGGACTAATAAACTAGAAATTTTATTTCTACTGTGCGAAAATTACAGAATGAATATATATCTCAGACACATTTCCAACGTCATTAAATAAATTTATAATACCATAAAAAACAAAAACATATTCGGTTCTTTTCGATTTTTTGTTCGATTATCTAAACATTACGGCATTAAAAATTATTAAACAACGAACTGTACATTTTATTTGTACTATGTGAAAATTACAGAACGATTATATATCTCAGGTACATTTCCAAAGAAATTAAATAAATTTATACTGCCATAAAATGCAAAAGTGTTTTACACTAATGTTTGTGAAAATTTCAACACCATGAAGGAATTACGCAAACTGAACCAAACTTACAGGATACGTAAAGTGAGAAAAGACATGCAAATGATTAGAATTACAAAGCGATTACGTTAGCGTGGAATGAGAACCGGCCGCTTGTTCCATGTATATAAAGATCAGTAAAGTTGCGTTGAAATCTGTTTGTCTTTCTTTGTCAATACCACCTACGTATATAGTGCCTCCTACTGCCTCTGCCTGCGAAGAACTTTTAATTAGTGGTCAATATTCCTTGTCAGAAGTGGAAGGTGCCAATACCAACAACCAACGGAGTTCGAACGAGGTCGCTTCGTCGGTATACGAGAGGGTGAACTTTCGTGTTGAGTAACTGCGGCCTGCACGCGTCGTAATGACATAACAGTTATGAGTGTTTGGAAGAAATGGACAGAGGAGAACCAAACAAGGCGAAATTCTAGCAGTGCGGCCTCACTAGCACTATGGTAGGAAACGACAGACACCTAATCCACATGGCTGTGACGGATCATACAGCGTCCTCTCATGTGTTACCACAATGTTGGAGCACTGCTACAGGTGTTATGTTGTCTAGCTTCACGGTTTGTCACCGTCTGCTGCAGCATGAAATGAGTGCAAGGGTTCCTCTCTTCTGCAAGGATTCAACTGTCACTGAAATAATCCTTTCAAGATAAATTTCTTGCATTTATCTTAAGTATTAAACTAGAAAAAGATCGTTTCAGTAGTGATGCAACTACTGATTGTGAAAATTCATGTATAAATAACCAGCTGAATGAGTTACTAAATACTTACAGCCATATTTTTGCAAAAAAAGTAAATATGATAAAGGTTACATAAATATTAAACCTCCAAGGGTAGTGCTAACTTCAGACCTTCCTGTAGCTTA